TTGGTGAATATATCAGCAGTGTTGGCCCTAGTGGCCAAGTACGCAAGACGAAGCTGACCACGCTGTTGCAACTCTCGAGCAAGGAAGTATCGCAGAGCGATGTGCTTCGTTCGGTGCTCCAGTCTGTGCTCCTCACGCAAGGCAATCATGGGCTTGTTGTCTACGTACAGAACTGGAGGCGAACGAGGCTGCTCTCCCAAGTCGGTTAGCAGGTAGGTGAGCCAGCGTAACTCCTATGCAGCCATGGCCCCAGCGTAGATCTCAGCCACACAACTGGAACTGAGAACCGAAGACAAGCAGGTAGACCGCCAGGAAACCGAGACTGAAGGTGTAACCCTGTGACGACCGCTGCGTAGCCAACTCATCAACCCAAGAAGCGTCTGCGTGACCAGTGAGGACAACTGGACCTAGTCCTCCAAGCACGAGCCCCATGCCCAACGTACTGCACAAGTAATGCTGTACCCTCTTCGCAGCATCCCAGTGCACCTTTTGGTGCCTACCGGGAGCCACGTAGCGAGCCAGGAGGCTGAGAGGGTACGCGAGGTCAGGTTGTGTGCAGGTCATCAGGTACATGAGGCAACCCACAAGCTCTGGGTACGGACCACTCGGCTCTACGGACTCGTCCGAAGGTGGAGGTGAGAGCGAGTGGCCGGTTGACAGAAGAGTGGGCTGTGGCGAGGAGAACAGGAAGCCGAAGCGCTGAAGGACCTGGTGCACCATGTGTGACTGAGTCAGGGTGATGGTGCGCCGTGCTCTGTCCCGGGTGATTTGCAAGCCAATATAGCTGCGCAGTTCACCCAGGTCAGTGCAGGTGTGTTTCTTCTGCAACTCCTACTTCACAAGGGTCAGTGCATCAGTGTCAGCAGTGGCAAAGACCAGGTTTTCAAAGTAGACGAGGATGTAGAACGGCAGCAGAGACGTGTCGGTGCGTAGAGACAGCGACGGGTCAGCAGTCGAAGGAGTAAACCCTAGAGCCGCAAGTGTAGTCTTCAGGGTGTCGTGCCACTCGCGAGGCGCCTGGCGGAGACTGTAGACTGGCCGCCGGAGGCTCCACCGAGTACCTGCAGGAAATGACTTGGTGAAGCCAGGTGGGCGGCGTGGCCAGATCCCCTTGTGCAGGCGGACCTGCAAGAAAGCTGTACTGAAGTCCAGCGAGTGCAACTCTTAGTCACGCTGAGTGGCGACGTGCAGCAACACCCGAAGATTAGTCATCTTTGGGGTGGGGGAGAAGGTCTGGAAGTAGTCGACCCCCTATCGCTGACTGAAGCCTCTAGCAACGGGGAGGGCTGTGAGGTGACGGGGCTGCAGGGCGACAGGCTACGGGGGGGGCGCCCTTCTAACGCGCGATTCGGGGGGCCCGTGGGGGCCTTCCTAGGTCGCAACGTGGGGGACCCGCGGGGGTCCTTCTAGCTCGCGATTCGGAGGGGCCGCGGGGGCCTTCTAGCTCGCGATTTGGGGGGCCCGCGGGGGCCTTCTAGCTCGCGATTTGGGGGGACCCGCGGGGGCCTTCCTAGGTCACAACGTAGGGGACCCGCGGGGGCCTTCCTACGTCACGACGTGGGGGACCCGCGGGGGTCTCTCTCTAGCGTGCGATTTGACGAGGGGGAGCGGGGCACTAAGGGGTGACGGGGCATTAAGGGTAACTGGGTACTAACCTGTAAGCGCGGGATGGTGGGCCCATAGGAATCGAATCGCTCTGAATTGAGTAGAAACAAGTAGTACGAGCATATAGCAGACCCTAAGGGGGTTATACCTTCTACAGCATAGCTCAGTGTAACACCTAGACTAAACTAACAAACTATAACAATTATAGTTTGACACCCACTGCTGAGGCTGCTGCTACACCTGCCGCTAAACCTGCTGCTGCGGCTATCCCTGCTGCTGTTGCTATCCCTGCTGTGGTTGCTGCTGCTTGGGCTAGTGCTATTGCTATGCCGTGTACCAAGCAGCCGCTCCAGCACCCCTCCCTGTTGGGCCCGCAGGCCTAGGACCACCTCCAGTGCTGCCTCCACAAGATGCATTAGTGCCACCAGTATCTCCGCCACCCCCTCCACTACCACCACCACCACCACCACCCATCACCCCTTTCTTACCTCCCTTGGGCCACCCACTCATGGTGGACACAGCTGCAGTATCGTTAGAAGCAGGACGCGGTCGAGGAAAGAGAAGCAGTGAAGGTGGGGAGCTGTGGGACAGTACACCCCTGAAAGAGTAGGGAAACTATAGCGGATGCTGCTCTCGATGTCCTTGAGAGCTGTCTCAAGGACATCAATAGTGCGCACAGTATGCTGCTTCCGAAGAAGCGCGTCACAGACAGGTGCAAGGCGGCCAGGGAGGCTAGTGACGAGGAAGTGAATAGTGATTGCCATAGGCGGGGGAAGTAGTGCAAGCCCAGCCTCAGTAGAAACAGCACGGTAGCTGATGCCGAGCAAGCGCATATGGGTGATAAGGTCAGCAGTGCGATCAAACGCTCCTAGGTCGGGAAATAGAAACGGCATCAAGAGGCGACCAAGAGAGGTGGAGGAGGGAATGGAATAACGGATATTTAATGCAGTGAACGAGTCCTTGGCAGATCGGACCTGGATGAAGTGAGCCTCCTCAGACACAGGGTTTAGGAGTGCAATGCAAGCCGTCGCGTGACGAGACTGTCACACCGACAGAGCTGTACGGGCCCTGTCAAAGTGCTCCCGGTCTGCGTCAGTAGGCTCGTCAGGCAGGGCAACCAGGGGCGGAGGGGAAGGCAGATCACCAGAGGCGTGCGCCTAGAGCGTATCATCATCCTGAGCTGACTTTGGAGGTACCGCTCGGCACGGAGGAGCTAGGAGGGGAATTCTAGGGCTCTACCATCCGCATCAAAATGCAGGACTCGAGTGGACGCAATAATGAAAGGGCTACCGGTTTAGGAGCGCAAGGATAGGAGTGGCCAGAGTGAGAAACGAAGGAGGGGCGTACGATGCCAGAAGAAACGGGTCCACAAACGAACGGAGCTTGAGAATAACACATCCGGAGGGGCGAGTCTAGGAAAGGCCTGAGCGAGTGGTGAGTAGAGCCAGAAGGGCTAGTCTAGGGATGCCAGGCACGGAGAGGCACTAACACCAATCAGCCCCAGGAAGGTCGACTACGGCTGCCAGCCGCCGGGTGGGGAATGCCTATGGCAGCAGGCGCATGAAGGGCAGCAGGCACTGGTGGGGTAACGGGTGCCGCTAGCACTGCGTGCAAGACTTTAGGTGCGCTGCTGGAGGGGCATGGAAGGGTGCTGCATCTGTGGGCGCGGTAGGTGCAATTGCGTGTGTGGCTGCAGGTGCGCATGCGGCTGCTGTTGCGCGTGGGGCGGCAGGCGCGTGCGCCGCTGCTGGTGCGCGAGCAGCTGCACGTGCCGCTGTGAGCGTGGCGGCTGGCATTCGCACGGCTGCTTGCTGCGCGCGCAGTTGCTGCTGTGCGGGGAGCCGCTAGCGCGCGGCTGCTGCTCGTGACGGGATGGTTGTTGTGCCAAAGCACTATAGTGGCACGGTCATCGCACTCCCATTCAGCCTACAAGCCTTCTCAGCTTCTGGAATTTTGTGGGGAGGTGCTTCAACATGTGTTCTTCAGACCCTCAAAGTTTCAGAATTTTTGAAGCAGTTTAGAAGGCATGGCAACATTTTTTGGTTTGAAGACTTATGGCATCCCGGAAGTGTGTGTTACTCTTTTTTGGTAACACCCGAGTTCACCATTTCGGCTGGTGACTCATCTACCAAGCTCTGATTGGTCTGAAAATCGGTGTGGCAGTTCTTTGCCGTGTTGTGCACGTGGTCACCGAGTTTCAGGACAACCCAGCATTGGAGAAGCACGTGACAGCTGTCGAAAGTTACTGTTCCGTAGTCATGGTGCATTGTTGGCAGCATTTCCCTTGCCACCCTTTCATTGCTGTCATGCCAATGATGCAGGGACAGAGAATGAGACAAGAATTACAGGTGGTCAAGTGGGAATCTACCACCCTCCTTTTGAGAAGTGTGGTCTTCCTGGAAGCAGCTTGCAAGAGGGTGCAAGTGGGAAGACAAGCTGACTCATGGTTGGCTTGACTCACTATTGGTAGCCTTGAGTACAGCTCTGAACATCCAAGTGTGGTTGGCTTTGCTGACTTAGCTAGGATGTTTCCCATCCTTCTCTAGCCTTTCTCCCCTAGGACTCAACCTTCTCTGAGTTCCCGCGATGGTCCCAACCCCTTAAGAGTCCCCTAGGCAATGTTGTACTCACCTCTTCCTTGCATCAATGAAACTACAAGTTTTCAGCCGAGCTTACGTTTTTGTTCAAATGCATAGCGCATACACCTCTGATGAAAGCAAGCAATATACCGTTGGAGAGCAGACACATGAAGCTAACTTCTCTCCAAGTTTCAGCCTCGTATGTTATCGGAGCTGATCGTGACGGTGTTTTGAACAGAGGCAGTTCGAAGTCATAATATTCTACTTGGACGGTTTCAAGGGCATCCGCGACCCCTAAGTGGACTCTAGACTTTAACAATGGGTCGGGTAGAGCGGGGCGGGCAGCGCGGAACGGGGCGGGTGGCGCGGGCCGGGCAGCGCGAGGCGGGCAGCGCCCAGGGCGGGTAGTGCAGGGCGGGCTGCACAGAACGGGGCAGGTAGCACACGGGCGGGCACGGGACGGGGCAGCGCGCTGTGCGCAGCTGGCTACGTGCGGGTCGGGGCAGGGCATGGCCTGCTGAGGAACGGGACAGGGCAGGGCACGGCCTGCTAAGGAACGGGACAGGGCGGGCTAGGCTAGGGAACCGGGCGGGGCGGGCTAGGCTAGGCTCAGAACGTTACCTACTCGTGATACCATCTCAAAGTTAGAACAGTGAAATGTATGTGACTAACAAGATGGGAGATACAAACACTAACCCTAGAAAGTCTTGTACTCTCTACAGCCTTACTGACTATAGGCTATCAAGATAACATATAGCATTTGACAGATGACACCTGCCCAGTCAAATTCTGCTCAGGCAATAAATGCCTGTCCAGCTACACCACAAACTCCCGACTATCCTCTGAGCCCAGCATTGCCAGCCGTGTGCCCAGTGCATCGCCACTGCCTTGCCCATCCCATATGCCAGTGCCACTCCCCCAGAACAGTTCGCTCCATCTCCCACCCTCTCGTCTTTCTCCGCTGTCCCCCTCTCTGCTATCTAGCCTTTCTCCTGTCCGGCTCCCCTGCAGCAGGGAGGCTCGAAGGGGCTTGAGGGTTCGGAGGGCCGCAGAGGGAGTGGGGCGGGAGGAGGGAGAAGGGGAGGTGCAGGAGAGGGCGAGGAGGAAGAGGGGAAGGAGGAGGGAGTGAGGGGGTGGAGGGTGTGGCAGAAGGGGGTCGAGGAGAGGAGAGACGTTGCCGGCTGTCACACGCTGCTGGGCCTGAGGGTTGGGAGGACGGGGAGAGGGAGATGCGGGCAGGGGAAGAAGGGAAGGGGAAGGTGTGCAGGAGGATGGATGGGAAAAGGAGCGGTGGGAGGAGACACAGGGGATGGAGGGGCAGGGCAGTGTGAGCACGAGACTCAAGGTGTCCAATGTGAGTCGTGTGCTGTGATGCCTGGTATGCAAGGGGCGAGTGCATGGTCAATGCACATTGCGCACGCACCATCATCACAACTACACCATGCCACACTACACCATGCCATGCCATGCCATGCCATGCCATGCCATGCCACTATGCCACGCCACTCTATGCCATCCCATTCCCTGCCACGCCATGCGACACCACACCATACCATGCCATGAGCAGCAGGGCTGCACGCACCCAGTCAGAGATGTGGACGCACTGCCCATCCTCATGCTTGTAGGGAGCATCCCAACCCGTGAGCAGCTGCAGCAGCAGCACCCCCACGCTGGCAATGACAGACCGGACGAAAGGGGGCAGAGGGAGGGCGAAAGGGTGAGGGTAGGACGAGATGAGATAAGCAGCTGTTGCAGCAGCACTCCCACACTGGCGAGTGCTCAGAGAGTGGAGAGACCAAGATGAAAGTAGGGAGAGAGAGTGGAGACACCAACGATGAAAGAAGAGAGAGAACAGAGAGACCAAAGATGAAAGAAGGGAGAGAGAGTGGAGAGGGGAAGACGATGGTAGAGAGGGATAAAGGTGGGTAGAGAAGGGTAGAGGAGGGTGGAGAAAGGAAGAGAAGGGTGGACAGGGGGAGATGATGGTGAAATGAGTGAGTAGGAGGGCCGGTGTTGATCCGGCCCCACCCCACCTGAACATGTGGGCCCCACCTGAACATGTGGGCCCCACCCCACCTGAACATGTGGGCCCCACCCCACCTGAACATGTGGGCCCCACCCCACCTGAACATGTGGGCCCTGTTAGAAATAGTCAGTCAACACTTTGTACTATATTCTATATCGGTTAGGTTACTTTGTAGGTTGGGTGTAGATTTGTAATCCCAACCCTATCTGGTTGGGATTCCCTCGTAATCCTGCAAATCTGCCAACTCACCAATTGGAGATTTGCTAGGATTCCCATCCCATCCTTTCCCTAGCTTTGCTCAACCCAACCCTGTTTGTACTTAAGGCCTAGTGCCTTCCTTATCAAGCAATCAGTTCAGTTCCAATTCTATCATGGTATCGAGCTAGTAAATTCCGCTCACGCGGAATCCGATCCTTGGCGTCCCGGTGGTTCTCTCCTTTTAGGCTATGCCTATTTCGGTTCCCGGCTCCTACGCTTAGCGTTTTTCAGAAACTTCACATCGTCGCTCCGGTCAAGCGCGCATTCGGCTTCCTTCATCGCGCATCTCGTTTTTCAACGGCGACATTCTCAGCTTTCGACTTCCTTCATCGTAAGCTTCTGGTTTTTATATCTCCGTGGCAATTTTCGCATCTTCTTAACTTCGAACAGGTTTTCAGCGGCGCAGCAGAACAGGTCCAGCGGCGCAGCGGAACAGGTTTTCAGCGGCGCAGCGGAACAGGTTTTCAGCGGCGCAGCGGAACAGGTCCAGCGGCGCAGCGGAACAGGTTTTCAGCGGCGCAGCGGAACAGGTTCAGCGGCGCAGCGGAACAGGTTCAGCGGCGCAGCGGAACAGGTTCAGCGGCGCAGCAGAACAGGTTCAGCGGCGCAGCAGAACAGGTTCAGCGGCGCAGCATAACAGGTCCAGCGGCGCAGCAGAACAGGTCAGCGGCGCAGCAGAGAAGCGGAACAGGGGCAGCAGCGAAGCAGAACAGGGGGCATTGGCGAAGCAGTATATCAGGGTATAGTACGGGCATTCTATTTCCAAAATCGCGTTTCAAACTTCCTCGATTTCCAAAATCACCCGAACTCCGCTCCGCTTCGCTCCGCTACATATCGGAGACTTTAGCGCTGCGCTCCGCGCGAAATGGCAACTTCAACTTCCACTCTCGTCGGAAACCTCATCATCCTTAACCTCGCTCCCAACGGCACGAGCACCAATTTCGGGGAGTGGTGCTATGGAGTGGAGAAGCACCTCCTTAGCTCGGAGCTCAAGGGGATTTGCCTCAAGGATATCCTCCTCAATCGCGGCAAGGGGAAGATGCCTCTCCCTCCCGATCCTCTCGGCGAAGGCGCCACTGCCACAGCCAAGCTTGCTTTCGACGCTAAAACCACCAAGTATGAGACGGACTTCAGTCTCTGGGAGCAGGCGGATGCGGCAGTGTTTAGGGTTTTCATCATCACCACCCCAGTCGAGTTAGTCAAGTCCTACCGCACCTTCCGCTCTGCGCATGACATTTGGAAGTACCTCCAGGATCGCTTTCATGACAAAACTGCCGTGGGAGTTGCAATCCTCATTCCTCGCATGTTCCAAATCCGCCTTGAGGAATGCCCGGGCATGGCAGACTACATCTCTGAAATCCGCAACATCCATGAGGAGCTCAAGGACATTGGGATCACCTTCCCCGAACAGGCACCTGCTGCTGGGCTTCTCGTCGGACTCACCCAGGCCTACAACGTCACCAGTTCCATGCTCAAGCAGCTCCCCACCAATGAACTCACCTTCGAGAAAGTCGCTTCGGCCCTTCTCTCTGCCGAAAAGGACCTTGCAGCCCAGGCATCCGTCAATGCTGTGCGCTACTCCCCTGGCATCCCATTTCGTTCCCAGCAGGGCCAGAGGCGCAACTCCTTTCCCCCATGCCAGTACCTCATTAGGAAGGGTCCACGTGCGGGGCAGAAATGCAACGGCACCAACCACCCTGAGGCAACTTGCTTCAAGAAGCGAGATGACGAGTGGTATGACGTCCACGGTGTCTCCAAGGACAAGCGCCCTCCCAACTGGGCACCACCCCGTCGCGTGAACCAGGTCGAGGCAGTGGAGGAACCTGCTCAGGTATTTGCTAGTGCCCCATCTGATGTTCGCCTTAACCTGTTGTTCTCTGGTGCTGGTCTTCTTAATGAGAAGGGGTCGCAGTACATCGGTGTTTCAACCACACAGGGAATTGAGTTCATACTAGACAGTGGTGCCACCCACACAGTGCTTAAAGACCAAACTGCCTTCGTTCCCTACCAGGCTCCCACCTCACTCCTTGGAGCTGATTCTAGCTTCTCCATCCAATGCCATGGGTCCTCCACAGTTTCCTGTCCAGCTTTCCCATCCGGCACAGTCACTGGCATCTGTGCCCCTACCCTCCGCTACAACCTTCTTGCACAGCGGGAAATCCAACACGCAGGCGTGATCACCATCTTTCCCAATGATGTTGACTACTGTGACATGTTTGACGCCAAAACCGGACTCCATCTTGCCCGCTTCACCCTCAACTCCAACAACCTGTACACACTAGTTGTACCTCCCGTTCAAACATGCTCCCTCACCAACCTTCCGCTTCCATCCTCAGACTCCCCCTCATGTCACTGCCGCCTCCTCAATGACAAGACTATGCTATTTCATAACCGCCTCGGCCACATCAACTTCCGCGCACTTTCAGACCTTGCCACCAAACAACTCCTTCATGGGCTGCCCGCCTCACTTCCACAACCTCCCTCTCTTTCTGGACCACCCTGCCTTGACTGTGCACAGAGCAAGCTTCGGGAACAGCCCCATCCTCCCACTGAGTCCACCTCTACCGCACCTCTTGATCGCGTACACATGGACCTTTGGGGTCCAGCTCCTGTTCGTTCCCGTGGCGGACACTTCTACTTCCTTGTCATCGTTGATGACTATTCCCGCTATGTGTCCGTTCGCCTTCTCACCGCCAAGTCTGAAGCCCCAGCCATTATCATGGAATGGGCAAGGCAGGCTCATTCACACTTCAAAACCAAAATCAAGATTCTTCACTCTGACGGTGGCGGTGAATTCCGCAACAACACTCTCAAAGCTTTCTGCTCTACTGAGGGTATTCGTCAGACCTTCACCCTCCCAGACAGCCCTCAACAGAACGGTGTTGCTGAGAGCCGAAACCGCATCCTGGTGCAGATTGCTCGCTGCCTCCTCACTCATGCTTCCGCCCCTCCCTCTCTTTGGGGATACGCCATGCTCCATGCTGCCGCCCTCCACAATCTCCATCCTCATCCTCACCACACCCACACCACCCCCGCAGAGCTGTGGACGGATCAAAAGCCGTCCGTCCGCCCTCTTTGTGTATGGGGGTGCACTTCCTATGTTCTCCTCAACTCCCAAGCCCGTAATGCAGCTGGCGGCAAGCTTGCTCCGAAAACAATCACGTGCGTGTACCTCGGGCACAACTCGGACTCGCCAGACTACCTCTTCCTCCATCCTACCACCAACAAACTTTATCGCTGCCGAGATGTTTTCTTCGATGAATCCCACCCGTTCTACCCCTCCTCCACTGTTTCTCCTTCTCCTCCGCCTCCTTCTCTTACTTGGGCTGACTTTGACAGCCTTCCTCCTGCCACCACTCCATCTCCTCCTCTTCCTGCTCCCTCCACAGTTTCCGACCCCCCGTCACCCGCTTCCCCTTCCAGCACCACGCAGTCTCCCCCGCTCCTTCCCGCCCCCGAGCCCATTCCTCTCAAAACCTACCAACGCCGTCCTCCTACTGCTGCTCCTCCTCCTGATCCAGCTCCTCCTCCTGATCCAGCTCCTGCTCCTGATCCAGCTGCTGTTTCTGATGCTGCCACTACACCTGCTGCTTCTCCCCCTCCAGCTCCGCCTCCCTCCCCCATCGCTGGTCGCACCCGCTCGCGCAAAGCTCCCAAGCCTCTTTCCCTTGCCATTCGTGTCTCTCTCAATCCTCCTCCTGTCGGGGGTGATTATTCGCTCATGCCCTCCCTTCTTGAGGACAGACATGAGGAGTTGATTGAGATTGACTCAGCCATACACGCACTCTGCTCCCTCTTTCCAGATATCGCAGAATCTCCCATCCTCGACTTCTCGGACAACCCCTCCATCCCCACACCTCTCACCTATGCTGAAGCAGTCTCTGGTCCTCACGCCGCTCAATGGCTAGGGGCCATTGTCGCAGAGGTGAGGCCTTCATTCACACAGGAACTTTCACAGATGTCTCTCCTCCCTCCGGCGTCAACATTGTGAAGGGAAAATGGGTTTTCCGGGTGAAACAACTTCCAGGCGAATTTCCCGTCTTCAAAGCCCGGTACTGTGCCAAGGGATTTACCCAAAAGCATGGACTGGACTTCTTTGAGACATTCTCTCCCACCGCCAAACCTCCCACACTGCGCACCCTTCTCGATGTTGCCGCTCGAGATGACATGGAGGTTGACTGCATGGATGTGTCCTCTGCGTTTCTGCAAGGGATCCTTCGAGAGGAAATCTACATGGAGCGGCCCGAAGGATTTCCAGCTCCTTTTCCACCAGGCACTGTATGGAAGCTGAATCGACCAGTCTATGGCCTCAAGCAAGCACCCCGGGAATGGCACAACAAGCTCAAGAGCACCTTAGGGTCCCTCGACTTTCACCCATCCACCTCTGACCCCAGCCTCTTCATCCGAGCAACACCATCCCGCTTCTTCATCTTGGATTATGTCGATGACATGATCCTTGTCACCAAAGATCAGACTGAGCTGGCAGCAGTCAAAACCGCACTTGGTGAGAAGCTGGCTATGAAGGATCTTGGGAAACTGACGAACTATCTGGGCATGGAAATCACACGTGATCGCACGGCCCGCACCATCACCCTCTCGCAGAAGTTCTACATCAACAACGTTCTGACCAGGTTTAAGATGCAGGAAGCAGCTTCAATGCCCACCCCACTCTCTCTGCAGCACCAACTCACTGCACCCTCTGTTCCCTCACCTGAGCCCTGTGATGAGGCTTACCCCGAGCTCGTCGGTTCCCTCATGTACGCGATGATGTGCACT